GAAAATCTCGATGATCGCACCCAGAAACCTTTGATTAATTTAAAATTATTTCACAGCATTCTATCTATCCAATCAGATAAGTTATTTAATTGATTTTCCTTTGCGGAGCTTTCAAAGAATTGTACATTTTGCTGAACGTGTGAAAACTCAAAATCCTTGCCATCTTTACCCAAAAACACAGACTTAGAGGGATCATCCTCTCCCACTGATTGTAATTTACGACTACGAGTCACCCGAACGATATTCCTGCAAAAAAAAATGGGCAAATTAAATTTGCACATTTTTATTAGATTCAACCATTAATCGGCCCACTTACAATTCTTTTTCCAGTACGCTTCTTATAACATGTGCGCTTTTTGCCGTGCTGAGATCTTGTTTATTGCAAAGCACCAACACCGGACAAGACTGGGTAGAAGCATCTGTGAGCACACTGTAAAGGGCGCTATTTAATGAAAGAAAATTTGAGTTGATGATACGAAGCATACATATTTATGTACATATATCTGTTAATAAACTTATTGGGTACTTACTCAGCCACGTCTCGAACTTCTTTTTGTACAGTCACAGAATCCACCACAAATATTATCCCTTTAGCAGACCGTTTGTACTGATCAAAGCATTTATCCCGCACTCTATAATGGCCAGGAATGTCGATAAGACGACCGGACATGCGACCAGAACGGTATTCTCCCAAATTTTCCGTAATAGAGGTGAGAGTATTCGGAAATTTATTATGTAGGATTTGCATAAATATTGCGCTTTTCCCAGACTCGGTTAAACCGGTTAAAAGGAAATCTCGACGACCCAGCGAACGCCTCCGCAATATCAATATAATCGCTGCAAATGCATAAAATTTGTACCCTTTTATTTACAAACCAGATATTTATGTGCACTAACCCATTATAATGAAACCCAAAACAGCAGCTAACAGGATAGGTGTCATGTTCAGCTCCGATATATTCGTGGTTGCATTTTCTCCATCAGTTTCACTTATTTTATCCATTTTTATATATTATATTTTGTTAAATTATTATATTTAGTTTGCTATGGACTTTTCGTTCTTCATCTGTCCAATAAGAATACCAAACAATAGTCGCAGCAATGAGGTGACAGCGCGTATCGACACGACACGCACTCAATAGTAGTGTTGCTGTTCTGCGTAGAAGTGGAAATATATCGACGATACTATCGGTATATCAATAGTTTGTGTTTCAGAAAAATGCTATGGACGTTTTAAGACTATCGATATTATCGGCTGTAAAGCTTTGGTTTCCACGAAAGCAGTAAATAGCGGTCGTAACTTTGGTTTTACCAGTTTTCAACTAAAATGACGACAATACACAACGTAATGTGATTTGACAGCACCGTAATTTTCTGACGGCAACATCTGTGTTTTCGCGCCATCTGTGGGTCATCAGCGTGAAAATTGAAAAGTACGTTCCCTGCCAGTGATCGGAGTCCACTCCGATCATGGACATTTTAAGCCGCTTGACTTTAAATCAATTCCGTTTTTTTACTCATGCTCTGCACCTCTTCGCCTATTTTTTTAGTGTTCACCGCCAGATTTCAGTAAAAAAATAAAGTTAAGACAAAATACACTGACAAAAAAAAACTGGTTTATAGAAATGAATCAATCAAGGGTAATTCTCTAGTATAGGGTAACAACAGAAAAAAAAGGTCCGGAAAAGTCGGGAGGCGTACCAAACGACGCGTTTCGGTCACGCTATTAACAATCCGGAGGGAGAAGGCTAATATTGTTAACCATTTAAAAGTTATAAACAAACAACTTTTGTTAAATTTCGCTGTTTTGTATAGGCAATTACCCCGACAAAAATTAACTAAATCACCTGTTCTCACTTTTTAAACACTATTAAAATATATAATTCAACTTAATTATTAAACAAACACATAGTTTTATCAACCTAAGGCAAAAACATAGTGACGCGACATAGAGAGCGAAAAGAAATTTTCGGATAATAGCGAAGAAAGAGATAAGAAAGTGAAGCAACAGTCAGCTCAGAAAGCAACGAAAACAAAAACAAACTCCTCTTTTGTTATATTTCCCAAAAAACGGAAACTTTTCCAAGTGTTTAAACTGAATGACGGTTTCGAGATTTTGATATAGTTATACCTATTTTTAAGAAAAGCCTCTCGAAAGGGACAGATGACCCAACAACCGTTATGTATAGACGGCTTGCTTATATAGCAGCGGAAATGTAGTGCGCATATCTTCCCATTCCTCTAATGGGGTGCTTTTCAAAGACGACGCTGAAGCATAATAAGGGCCGGTTACTCAATGTCGGATCGGAGGTAGAAGCTCCGGTTAAATACAACGACTGCTTTATCGATCACATATTAGATGCGTTCCAGCGATTTTTGGACTAAAACCTGTAGAACTGTCAAACAGCAAAATATCTCTCATAAGGGAGAGCAATGGTCGAAGAATTGAGAAAAACTGCTGGACCGCGAAAACCCATTTCCTGCAGGTATATAAATGTTAGATGTTTGTTTACGAAATTATTAATTCAGCCAAAAATTCTTACACACAACATTTTAAGATTTCTTTATTTTGGTAGAATTGGCTTCTATTCTGCTAAAAATACTTCTTATAAATTGAATCAGCTCTTTCACTGTTTACGAATGCAAAACTGACCTTCATTTGACAGTTTTCATGAATTCGCAGGAAGAAAAACTGCGGACTAAATCCTGCAACTTCATACTGAGAGTAAGCATATTTTACTCTCACGAAAAAGCTCTCAGTTACAGGAAATTTGTCAGCTGGAACGATTTTCGGATGATGTCGAAAACGTCGATAATGATGTTTAACCGGCAAGTAGTGATAACCAGACATTGAACAACCGGCCCTAATACTTGCACTGCTATACCATTTTTACGTAAAAATCAAAACCCAACAGAATTGTACATTTTAAATGCTATGCGTTTGGTAACCGCTTAAGGCTTCGTTATGCATACTTGGCGTTGCTTGAGAGTTGTCACATAAGGAATCTGTTAAATGAGCTTCGCGTGTAAGCGGTTACCCAACGCACAGTATTACATACGTAAAAGTCTGTAGGTTTTTGATTTCTACGTAAAAATGGTATAGCAGTGCATGCAATGCCAAGTATGCATAACAGAGCCTTTACACGCAAAGCCCATATAATAGATTCTTATGTGACAAATCTCATGTACCGTTAAGTATGCATAACTGGGCTATGACTTTTGCACTTCCGATACAAGTACTTTTTTTCGATACCTACTTGGATCGCAGTAAAAACTATCGAGTACAAAAATAGTTGGTAACTTGAGAAAGGTATCGAGTATGTACTTGGATTTACCAGAGAACGTTCTCTGCATTTACTTGTATCGATTCCTCCCTATCTACAGCTGATATGTGATAAACAAAACAAAATAGAAAAACGTGCATTATTCCTTTTTTTTTTGCAAAACAAGTCACAATTATTTAAATAAAAAAATCTGCATCACAAAAATGGGAAATTCCAAGCAAAAGGAAGGAGGAGGTAAATCCATTTCGAAAAATCCAACCATGAAACGCAAACCGTCTGCTCATAGCAAGCCACAAAATAAATACAACAAGTCTCACTTGCCCGACAGAAAAATGCAGTGGCGCAGAAAAAAGCCGCAGGACGAGGTACTTTTTCAATTTTCATAAAGTATGATTATTTTATTAAATATTTTAAACAATAGGCTCGAAAGCAGAAAATCAAAGAGCGGCAAGAATTAAAAGCTCAAAAAATAGCAGAGGCAAAAGCTGAAAAAGAACGGGTGCAACGAGAAAAGGAGGAGCGTGTGCGTAATTATAAAAAGAAGCGTTTAGAAAGGACAAAAGCATTTAGTAAAAAAACACACCGTGGACAACCGCTGATGAAGGATCGCATGCAACTCTTGCTCAAGCAAATTCAGGAAATGAAGCGTACCGGATAGTAAAAATTAAAGATGAATACATATAAGTAAATAACTTCATAAATTTTACTTAGTATGTGCATACCTATTTGTAGAAATAGTTTTTAATAATAGAATTTAAAAATAACATGCTCTGAATTAAAAACAAGTTGCTAATGCAGGGCTTAATAGGTGGTAGATATACATACATATATATACATAGCTGGTAGATATTCACATACGTATACAAAACCGCGTATAAAGTTAATGCAAAACCTCGTTGTGAGGTTGCCAACATTTTACAGGAGTGAGCACAACCTGTGTTTTTTATCAAGACGATTCTGTCCTTTATCGCTAATTATCTCTTATATAAGTAATGATATTTTAGTATGAATGGATAAGGGTTTGGGTCAAGAGATTCCGCTGAGCAAAAGTAATTTTTGGCTCAAATGTCAGTTACGAAGTTTTGTAGGACCACGATAAGTGGTTTTGTTTTTTAAACGACGATGATATGTACGTATACATAGGTTTGTATTAACGGCAAGTGCATAGGTATTTTCCAAACCTACTTGCTGAATAAAATATGCAGATATACCTCGATTTTAAACTCCGATATTTTTGGCGTGAAATAATTTTAATTTTCAATCCAAGCAGAAAATTTTTTTACATTTCACCAATAAAAATTAAATCTATTTTTATAAAATTGCCTAATAACTAAATTCTCAAAATGGCGCAAAATTTCCTGTACATGTTTGAATTTGTGGTCGATGATCTACTGATAACACGGCCCAATCATTGCGCCCCAGAAGAGTTCCCTACGTGCTGTGAAATCTGCTTTCGGTCTAGCGTTTTTGTTTCGATTTGTGATCGCGAATTCGGTCAATGCGTAGACATTTGCGCTCCCAAGTGTGGAAAATGCTGTCTATTCTCACTGGAGTCGCCAGTAACGGAAAAAGATCGTCTGATTATTCACATCTACAAGAAGAAGACCGATAAATGCAAATTCCTTGTCGGTGCTACAGACATTCCCATAAAGCCACTTTTCGATAAAGTAACGGAAAGCTTCAATATCGAAAATCCCAACTGGATGGAGCAATTGGCCAAGCATACGGCCCGTATGCCTTATCCGAAGACTTCATCCAAAACCACTGTCGTCGATAACGATTGCGATGAAGATAGTATCGGACGGCCTGAACAAATGTGTCCTACATCAGAACTAACCAAACGCTTGTTGCCCCTCTTCAATATGAAGCACATGCAAACCGGTAATTTGGTGCTTATAATGCGTCTCGTGTGCAATGGGCCAACGATTGTGTCTAGCTTCCCATTCTCACGCATTTGTTCAACGGGTTGTGCCAAGAAAACTACACCATGTCCCTCTAATTGCGCGGCCATAGAATCGCCGCAGTCACAAGGTGTTTGCCCGATGCCGGATCCTTGTAAAAAGGAAGAAAAGAGTGCTCCTGTTTGTCGCAGGTACTTTGCCTGCAATGCAGACAAGGGTTGCCCTTGCGAAGAGTGCGAAGACTATTGCGACAGGGGTAAGATTTCGTTTAAGATTCTATGTAAAAACAATGTCAATAAAAGATCAATATAATAAATTCAAATTTATCTCCACAGAATGTCCTAGTGGATGTAAGAAAAAGAAAAATCGGGCTCCGCAAAATAACTGCTGCCCAGCTCCAGTGCCGTACTGCTCGCCACCGCCTCCGTGCTGTCCGCCACCGCCTCCGTGCTGTCCGCAACCGGATCCTTGTCAAAAGAAAGAACAACGCACGGATATGTGCCAACGATATTTTACCAATGAACGTAAGGGCTGCACCTGCGACGAATGCATGGATGAATGTGAGGCGGGTAAGTGCCTTAAAAATATAAGTATACCTTTGTACTGCTGAAGTGGATCGTACCCTTTTTGTTGCATATATGTATGTACATACATATGTATTATAAACCATGCTCTTTAGTCATATATTTTTCCCAAATACAAGTTTTTCCTTCAGAAACTAAAAAAATTAAAACTTCAACATAAAAATTACTTTTCAATATGGACGTAATGCTTCAACAATTGCTTGCGATTTATTTATGCGCACCCGATATTTTTTTTTCGTCCTTTTGCGGCCACTGATAACGAAACGGGTGCGATTCCATAAAATTCGTTGCGCAAATTTCTCGATATATATTTTTTAATTATAGCCAAAGCTAGAGCATTACGGAAACTGCGCTATTTAATGCAAAAATATGCTGGACAAAATTGAAAAAATTTAGTTTTCAAAATTCAAGATAAAAAATCTTAAACTTATAAAAAAATCAGTAAACTTTGAATTAATACTTTTTTCCAAAAAAAAGTTGATGAAAAGGGTATGCTCTTTAATTCCGCACTGTATTTAGCTGTATTTACGGAACTACTTAGTATTAATTTTACCTGTATATCCGTGTAATAGGAAGCAGCGAAGAAGATTCCGACTCATGCCAGCAATGTGGCCCACCGCAGATTATGCCTCCGTGTTTTGTTGTGCCCACTAAACCAGAACCCGGTCCTGAGGCCTACGAGCAGTTTGAGGCTTGCCTAAATGGTAGTGGCCTAGTAATACGTGTTCTCAAGAATACTTACGTAGTGGAAAGTGCTGACGATGGTATGCAGCAAGGTGGTCACGACAGTGGTAGTGATTGCGAGGGGAAGAATACGAAGGTAAATATAAGTTCGAATTGTGTAGGTCGCTATACAAGATATGGATATAACATACCTCCGATTTGATTTCTAGCACTTCTTTAAATTTCATTAAATTTATTTAATTTAGTTTTGCTTTATTTTATTTAAAATTTGTACATGCTTTTATTAAACTTGCTTAGCATGTATGTATGTAAGTATGTTTGTTTGGGTCTAATCTTGCAATCAATTTTTAATAACTTCCCGAGGAACTAGCAACTTGAAATTTCAAACTTAGCTCAGAACCTGGTGACAATGCTATATGACTACGGTGACCATAAATATATTTAAAAAATGCAGGACAATTTACCAAAAAATTTACCTACATATAATTGCGTTGTATAAAAATAACAAAAATGTGCTACATATATACATTCCTCGTCATTTGAATAGCGCACCCTTTTTTTGATTTTCTTTCTTACCAAGTATGCTTGACAAAATTTTTATATGGAAGAAAATGCGCAGCACCGTGAACAAAAAAAATTGTCGCCCCTATGTTTATTTTTTTTTTAATTTTCAAAAATGTTTAAAATGGGATGTAGAGGTAGAATATGCTATATTTTTATAAAAAGTTAATGAATATTAAACAAACAAACGGAAAACTGTACCTAGTAAGTATTAAAAGGATGCGCTATTCAAATAACGAAGATGGTATATTTCTTAATTTAATCAAATTTTAAACTTTAAACATAAATCACATTTGCTTCATTGGTATTAATCTTTTATAAATGAATATTTACAAAATTATAATAAGGCATATTACATATTACTTTACACGAAATATGAACTTCCGTAAAGCAAATTTTTTTAGGCAAACTTTGGGTCGTTGAACACGAAAAAATACCCATGGTTTCAAAGAAGTGTTTTCGAGATTTGTTCGAAAAACGTATTTTTAGTACTTTTTCAGTTATTCCTCAATATCTCATGAAACGACCAACAGTTCGAAAGGTATTGATGGGCTCTTTGCAAAAATATATATTTTTTGTGCAGATTGTGTTCCGTAACATCTACATTTATCAGCAGATTTCCATTTACTGTAAAAAGAAAATGATTGAAATTTCAATTTTTCGATTTTGGTCGCTTGTGTCACTAATAATTTTCATTGAAATCGGCAAAGTAATATATTTTTGTAGGTCGCTTATGATGATTGGATAATTTTTTCATGAGACATTGACGAATAGGTCCGAAATGTACCAAAAACACTTTTTTCGAAAAAATTACGAAAACGCTTCTTTGAAAAGAAAATCGGCTTGGAAAATATTTTTTTTTCTTAAGCGATTACCACAAAATTTGTAGAACAGTGTTATCGATATATTTGATGCTGGTCTTCAATTTTTCGTCACCCATTGTCCATATCCGTACAATATTTAGAACGCATTGACTAGTTGAACCTTCAAAACCAACTTACACTGCTTTTATTTCGATTAGGAAAAGTTAATCTTAAAATATCGAAGAAAATGCGGGACAAAGGCAGGACACTTGGAAAAAATCAGAACATTTTGGGGGTTTTCTGTTTTGAAAAACTTCGCAGGACAGACCTTTAAATAACAGTACGATCCCGCAAAAAACAGAACGGATGGTCACCGTATATATGACAGATGAATTAATGCGCTAGTTCTTTGAAAACCACCTATTTATAATCCCATTCGGTTCAAATTTGAAATGTATATTACCTACATAATGTGACCAACCGTTTTTCTTTCGGAAGTACAGTACTTCTTTTTGAGCCGTTGTACTTCCAAGTACAGTCAAATGTACTTTTTTGCAATATTTTGTACGCTGATTTGATTTTTTTCAAATTATTCGGTCTCTAAAATGTCAAATATTTTTCATTTCTTCTCATACAAAATATGTACTCTTTGATTTACAAGAAAAACAGTTTTTGACACTTTAGATGCAACAACAAAATACACATAAATGTTGCAAGTGGTTTTGATTACTTACATCTCGCAAAATAGTCTCGTATTGTACTTATCTTAATTTTTGAGTCTCTAACTCGCAAAAGAAAACCGAAATAATTTCAAATTTATCGAAGAGTTATTTAACAGTTCGTCGGCAATGATTTTTTTAATTTATTGTTTGTTTTTAAATTAAATTGTTCAAAAATATTGTTCCCAGCATACCAGCGAAGTCTGCAGAGAGCACAATTAATGCTCCTAGGGAGGCTGCGAAAAGAGTACCAAAGGAGCATGCTCGCAGGAGAAAGGTGCATTCTCAATATAAAAAGCAAATATGATTTTGTGAGAAAGACTCCTTAAATCCTCCGATGATAACCATGACGGAGTGTTTTCGGTATGCTCTGATATTTAATAGACCGGCAAGGAGGCTTTACGGGATTTTAAAATGTTCTTAATTTTGTTTATAATTAATAAGTGTTAAAGTTTTTTATCATTTCTTTTTATCGAAAAAACGCTAAATTCAAAAAAAAATCCTGAAATAAATCACACAAATATTTTTTATCTTGTTTAAAATAGGTTCCTTTTAGGTTTGGAACCATTTGGTCCCGCTTTATGGGATTCTTTGCCAGAACCGGCATACTTTCTAATAAATACACCTGAAAAGACCTAAAATTATGGTGGATTTCCACTCGGCAAACATTTTAATGACAAACTTGGGCATTAAAAAATATTCTTGTCATTACCTTAAAAAAATAGTCATTAAATCCATTTCCACATGGCACTTTTTAAATGCCTCCAACTTTTTGTAATTTCAATGCCTAGTGGAAATTCGACATTAGACAAAAGTAATTTTCTATGCATTAAATGCATTTGAAACTTCCATAACATCAACATTTCTTTTTTGCGGTGTCCCTTTTCAGGAATATTCGGAAACGACGATCAATTTCTTCTTGATTGAAAATTTCTTTCTAAATTCACCGACTAGATAACAAAACAAGTAATTTTTAAGCAAAGAACAAAACCGACTTCAATTCACATATAAAAATTTAAGATTATCGTTAATTTTTTCACGAACCAATTATCTGATTTAAACAAAATTAGTATGGGACCACCTCTGAGTTACCACCTTTCCGATGAAAAATTCAGCCTCATTGCGTAAGTCGTAAGCGAGGCTAAATTGTATGACTCGAAAACAGTAGCATTGTCTATTGTCGTAAGTAAACGATCAAAATCGTCGAAAACTATACAGTGCTGCCGAGTTTTTCCGTTTTAATACACTAGTCGAGTGGAAATTTTAGGCAATGACGTGAAATTTTCGTTACGATTCGACTCTCGAAAAACGACTTGCATTCGACACGACTGTCGCAATGAGGGTGATTATCGATATCGGTTAACGTGGTCCAAGTAACGTGGTAACATACATAATGAAAAAATATTCCGACGAACTGATAACCTTCTCCTTTTTGTGAAGTCGATTAAAAATACTTTATATATTCGGAGCGCTCCGAAAATACTGATTGGGCCTCTCTTCCCCCTCTTATCCACACAAAACCGGTTTCAGGCGGACTGAGCAGTCCGGTGTGCGGAGGCCCATTCGAGGTGTTGCTGTGGGCGTTTGTGTGTGGATTTTTTGCGTTCCTTTACTTTTCCTGTTATTTTCTTTTAGTGAGCGCATTTTGCTTACGCTCTGGCATTTTGAGACTTTTCAGATTTTAGTCCAAAAGGATAAGGAATGAACCTATTAATGATATATCTTATGTACTTGCATATTAACTTATTTTTATAAATCATTATATTTTTTTACATTTACCTTCAGCAAAACAACAACCAATGCGAGACCTTGAACGAGATTCTACAACGCAGTAGTTTCGCCAAAAATCATGTCAAGCGACGCACAAATGGTTACATCATCAATGGCCCGAGGTTGCCGAAAATCCGAGCTAACATCAAATACTCCGCAAATGATTCATGCGAACCGGATAATTATTGTCTACCCTTCAATAAGATCAAATCAATATGTAATGCAGATCAAAAACTAGAGCTCTACCGTCGTAAAGGACCCTGCTGTGACGACGACAGTTGTGGTCCCATTGCACCACCATTGCCGGCGCGGGATATACGAAACTGCTGCCTACAAGTAGATCCTCAAGATATTAAAGACACTTTGAAGGGCATAAACACAGATACCAGAAAAAAGGGTATTGAGGTAAGGCGATAAATAAATAAAATATTTAAAAACGCCAGATCCTCTAAATGGAGATATTAAAAATTTCGCTCTCATATCCTTTTGATTTAGTTTCAGTATAGCATTCAATTTATTTTATTTGGCATTGATTTGTAAAAATAGGCAACATAGGAACAACCATACAAACACTACACTCACCCACTGACAATCAGAGTGTAGATCTCCAATGTTTCTGCATTGAGACACGTTGCTCAAATACTATGTAAATAAACAAGCCAATAACGTTTGTTTGTGCTTTGTGCATTTGCATTGTGCGCATATTGCGTCAGTACAATAGCAGATTTCAGATATAATCGGGAGATGAAAAAATGCAGCCAATACCATTTTTTTTTTTTTTTAATTTGTGCTTGGATATGGCTTGTGATGTTGGCTTATATAAGTAGTTGTTGTGTGCTGCAATAAAAGGTAAATAACAATAACGGCTGCTCGCGTATTTGTGTGTATGCCCATATGTGTACATTACTTGCACTTGTTGCTACCTCACTAACTTATGTGTACTACTATGTAGTAGCAAAAACCCTGTAGGGAAAACGATTGTAACTGAAATTATACACGCTGCTCTTATTTGCTTTATTTTTAAGAACCTCCACAGAATATCCCTCTGTGAGTGTTTTTTTTTTTTAATTACAACTGTCTTAGATAAATTTGTAAAAATTGATATATCCTGCTGCGTACTGACATACATATGTACATACGTGTATCAATGTTTTTATGTAGTTATTTCCCTCAATGCGTATCAGTGTGATCCAGCTTCCTTCGAATGCTTTCAATCGCAAGATATCGCCAACGCAAAAAAATTCCACATAGCAATTGCATCAAATCAGCTTCAACCAAATCAATGCAGCATACAAATGTATATATGTATATACATATGTAAGTTAGTGTAGTCGCTGAAACAAGCAATCCACCGTAGTTAAGTCTTATTGTATGGAATCAAGTTGAAGCACCGATTTGCCCCAGTTTGCGTGATTGTTTTTTTTTTTATGCGGTACCTTTTTCACAGTTTTCCACTAATCCATTCATTACAAATCCATGTTATGAATATAGTGTTTGTTTTTTTTGTGACGCTTCTGTTGCATAAACGCTCCATTTAGTGAAGGATATTTGTATGCCCATGTGTGTGTAGTTAGTAAGTGGAGTACATTTATTTCAGTGCTCTTATGTAAGTAGTACAAGTATGCAAGCTGGCAAAAGATTGAAAGAAATTTTCACTCTGTTGATATGACTGAAGGAGGACTTTGCCTGTATATCCAGAGTCAAAGTTTACGTTTGAGAAAAAAAATGAAAGTTCATAAGTTCAAGGTTCATAATACACATACATGAGTATGTACATATGTATGTATGGCAAATTTCATGACTCCCATAAAAAACGTGTTGCCTAAATTCATTAAAGTACGGAGTGAAATTTGCTTCAATTTAAATATTTTTCGCAGAAAACATTTCAGAATTTGGTTGAAGAACGACGCCCTAACTCAGAATTCGATTTAAAAACGCCCTATCAGCACGATTTCAATATATTTTCAGTTGAGATAGGGCGTTTTTGAACCGATTCTGAAATAGGGCGTTTTTGAAAACTTTTCTGAGATAGGGCGTTTTCGAACTGGTTGCCGTGATAGGTCGATCTCCCACTCAGGAGCCTATTTCATAAAGTGATTATTTTGTAACGACGGGCATTTTTTTCCGTATTGTCAGTGACAATTCGACAGTTTGGTGGTTGTTTTGTTTCATAAAAACAATTGTCACCACCGCTTCAATTAAATGAGAAATTCCATTGAAAATGTGACAAATTGTCATTGTCCGGTTTTAAAATTGTAGTTGACAAAATTATCGTCATATAAAATTTGTAGGTAATTCGTACATACATATGTAATAATTGCATTTGCACTATTTTAGTTTAAAGAAGTATTCGAATTATTGAAAAGTAATTTCATTACCATAGACATAAATACATTTTCAAAATTATCCTGTGAAAACTTTCCGACGGAGCTATCTAGTTTTGTCTCTATTAAACCCCCTCCTACATACAGCTTTGGCGTTGCGTTGTCGTTGGCGTTGGCGTCGCTTCGACAGCTGACTATGAATACGTGCATTTATATGAAAGTCTTCATATAACCAAAATTGGGCAATGCCAACGCAAAAGCAGAACAGAAAGATGGCCAACTCTCACACTTTTCTCACTTTTCTCTTGGTGGAAATGCCCTATTAAATTATGATTTTTTATTTTAAAGATCATAACTGTTACGGTCCCTGCATTTCTTGCATGGTTTCAACTTGATAATCCTCTAAGCACAAAATTAGAAAAAAAAATGTGTTTTTTCATTCGTTTGATTGCCGAAATTCGTACCATTCTAGGTATGCTACAGAACATGTGAAGATACCGATAGCGACGTCTTTCTGGTGAAATTAGGCAATAAGCAGCACTATCGCCCTAAGCGAAATACCATCGAAATCGAATTGAAGACACCGAAGCAGCCAATTATACTGCCCAAACAGAAAATGACCACAGAGACGCAGATCACCGATAAGGAGCTGGACGAAGCGCTCGCTGCCTTGTGCGCTGGTAATAAGAAAAAGGGAAAGAAAGGGAAAAAGGGAAAGAAGACGAAGTAATAAACTAGAAAATTTCTAAATATTTCGCGCTAAAATCAAAATGTAATTAAATTTAATTTATTGTATTTTCTTTAAATCAATAATTATCAAATTTACTATCAAAAACAAAAACAAATACTCATATCGTAGCTAGCATATTAAACTATCGAATGTGTGTTTCAGGAGAGTAAAGAAACTGCTGTAAAAAATGCCATTTGGAAAAAAGTGTGGCATTCGACACTTTGTTAAAGTCAGGGCTAGAATCGTAACATCCGTTCACGGATCGAAAACGATACGAAAGAAAATTGCGTGATACGTCAGGCAGTATAAGCTGAATGGCATGTATGTCATAATCCAAAAAATGTGTTTTTACGTGACGAGTAGTACGATATCGTATGTGACGATTCGAGCCCAGTATCATCTGCTTCTAAGAATACTAAAAATTCGACGATTTGCCAATTTACGTATCATTTAAAGGCATGGGTATCGCAAATGAAAAAGCATTTTGCACATTCGTTAGTTTGATATGGTAGCGAGACGATACGATGTTCATACATAACATTTTGGCTGCATATAAAATTCGCACTTTATTAGTGCAAATGTATTTTAACAGCATTCTTTGCTGAAAGGCTGTTAAAGAATTCGAATTTGTTGCGGATATCAGGTTTGTTCGTCGAGCAAAAAATTTGTACGAATTTGTACGAATTATCACGATTTTTGCCCAAATCGCGTTCGTGCAGACCAAAAAATTATCCAACACTCAAAAATTGTGAGAGCAAAGTGACAGTTCTCTTGGAGAGAAGTTGCAAATTCTTGCTGGAAAAAATTTTGCCAGCAAGAATTTGCAAACACGAAAAACATGTGGTTGTGGCGCATGGTTGCATTTTTGTCTACAATAATTTGAATAAATTAGTTCGTTAAATTTAAAAATTTATAAACACGAGCGATTTGTTTATGAAAAAGGAAGTAAATAATTGTTGATATAATTAATTTAGTTAATTCCAATGATTTGAACTTAATTCGGCTGAAAAAAATGGTATTCGCAATAGGAATGCAATTGCAACCAGAGTCGATTTAAGAAACCCGACAGCTAGTACGATGAAGAAATTGAAATGTATGTTAAAGAAAGTCAGAACAACAAGAAATATACATGTATATCCTGTTTTTGGCCATCCGAAAGAATTTTAAAAATTCTATAAAAATTTTTTATGTTTGAAATGCAATCGTGGACGCCAGCTGGCAGCGAAACTTGCAAATTCCTGCAAATTTGCGTTCGTGCAGAAATTTGCAAGTTTCTCAACATGAGAAAGAATTTGAGAGAATTTTTTCTTACTCTCTGATATTTTGAGTGTTGGATAATTCTTGCTGGATTTTCGACGAACAAACCTATCATCTATGAATGGCTCGCAAGCGTATGCATGTACATACATAAATGCCAGCAGTGGCATGAGGAAGTCATGTACAGCATCGCTTGGAATTACTGACACGTTCAACTCGCGTCTGTAATCGCTGCTATTTGCAGTGTTGCAGTTAATGGCGGTAATTGTAGCAGATGCCAACGTTGTTGATCGCACTAACGGCAACAAAAAAACAACACCGACACTGCACATTCGTTAAGAGCATAAAGGCTTTTTAGATAAGTCGAAAAGCGCTCGCAAAATTACCCCATTCAACTAGACGAG